AGCTGGTAAAGATTTTTTCCCACATTGTAGGTTGTCTCTTAGCTCTGTTGGTGATTTCTCTTGCACTGAAAAAACTTTTTAATACAATGAGATCCCAATTGTTGCTTTTTTGTGTAAGTTCTTGTGCTGTTGAGGATTTGTTCATAAAGTGTTCTATGCCAATGTCTTTGAGAGTTCTACCTAATTTACTTTCCAGTAAGTTTAGTGTTTCTGTTTTGATATTTAGATCTTTAATACACTTCAATTCTAGTTTAGTGCGTGGTAAAGGATAGGGATCTAGTTTTAATCTTTGGCAAATTGAAAGCCAGCTTTTCCAACCCCATTCATTAAAGAGGCTGTCTTTCCTCCAGTCAGGATGGTTAGCTCCTTTGTCAAGGATGAGATAGCTGAGTATGTTTGGTGTTGATTCTGTATCTTCTAATCTAGTCCATTGATCCTTGGGTCTGTTTCTTTGCCAGTACCATGTTGTTTTTATCACAGTAGCTTTGTAGTTTAGTTTCAAGTTGGGAATTATGATACCCTCTTCCAAGTCTCTGTTCCCTCTTATGGTTTTTGCTATTTTAGGTCTCTTCTGGTTCCAAATGAATTTTTGGATTGTTTTCTCAAGCTCTGTGAAATACACTGTTGGGATTTCAATCGGGATTAAATTAAATCTGTACAGAAGTTTTGAAAGTGTGGCTATTTTCACTATGTTGATTCTTCCTGCTCAGGAGCAAGGGATGTCTTTCCATCTTCTTATATCCTCTTCTCTGTCTTTTTTCAGAGTGCTGTAATTTTCAGTGTATACAGGTCTTTGTCTCCTTCATTAGATTGATTCCTAGATATTACATTTTTTTGGATGTTATTGTGGAAAGAGTTGTTTCCTAATTTCTTTTTCAATGAGTCTGTTACTTTTTACAACAAGATATTGATTTTTGAGTGCTGACTTTGTGTCCCGCTACTCTACTGAATCTGTTGATTAAGTCTGTCAGTCTTTTGGCAGACTTTTTGGGTCTTCTATGTAGAGTATTATATCATCAGCAAATGGTAACACTTTAACTTCTTCCTTTTCTATCTTTATTCCTTTTATTTTTTTCTCTTCTCTAATTGCTGTGGCTAATGTTTCCAAAACTATATTGAAGGGGAGTGGTGATAGTGGACATCCTTGTCTTGTTCCTGATTTTAGCATGAAGGTTTTCCGTTTTTGACCATTTAGAATGATATTGAATGTTGGTTTTTTATAGATAGACTTTATCAGGTTCAGATAAAGACCATGTATTCCAGTTTTCTGTAGGGTTTTGATCATGAATGGGTGTTGAATTTTGTTGAATGCTTTTTCTGCATCTGTTGAAATAATCATATGGTTTTTGTCCTTGACTCTGTTGGTGTAGTGTATTACATTTATTGATTTACGTATGTTGAACCATCCTTGCATTGGTGGGATAAGTCCGACTCGGTCAGGGTGCATGATCTTCTTGATGATCTTTTGTATTCTGTTTGGCAGTGTCTTTTTGAGGATTTTTACATCTGTATTCCTTAGGGAGAGTGGCCTGTAGTTCTCTTTTTTTTTTTTTCTGGGTCTTTCCTGATTTTGGAATCAAAGTAATACTTGCTTCCAGGAATAAATTTGGAAGTGTTGCTTCCCTTTCAATTTAATTGAAGAGTTTAAAGAATAGTGGCAATAGTTCTTTTCTAAATGTCTTGTAGAATTCGGCAGTGAAGCCATCAGGAACTGGATTTTTCTTTGTTACTAATGTTTTAATTACATTTTCAATTTTAATGTAATTGGGGTGTTTAGACTTTATATCTTCATTCAATTTTGGAAGTGCATGTGTATCTATGAATCTGCATTTTTTCTGTATCTTCCATTTTATTAGAGTACAGGTTTTCAAAGTAGGTATTGATGATCCTCTGGGTTTCTGGTGGATCTGTTGTGACTTCACCTTTTTCATTGCTAATTGCATAAGTTTGAGCCTTTCTTTCCCTTTTTTTTTTTTGATAAGGTTGGCTCAGGGTTTATCAATTTTATTTTTCCAAAAACCAACTCTGATTCATTGGATTTTTTTTTTTTTGTAAAGTTCTCAGTCTCCATTGCATTAATTTCTGCTCTGATCTTTATAATTTCTTTCCTTGTACAAGCTTTTGGTTTGTCTTGCTCTCCTTTTTTAGAAGCTTAAAGTTAAGCATTAGGTTATTGGAGCTCGCTCTGTTTTCCTAGTATGGGCATTTACTGCTGTGAATTTCTCTCATAGAACTGCTTTCATTGTTTCCCATAGATTCCTATATGTTTTATTGGCATTACCATTTAATTGTAGAAACTGTCTAATTTCTTCTTTAATTTCCTCTGTGACCCAGTGATTGTTCAGGAGGATGTTATTTAATTTTCATGTGTTTGTGAAGTTCTTGTGGTTTGTTATGCTATTGATCTCCAGTTTTATTGCAGTATGTTCTGATAATATACAGGGGATAACTTCAATTCCTTTGCATTTACTTAAGCATGTTCTATGAGCTAGTATGTGCTCTATTTTGGAAAATGACATATGTGCACCCGAAAATAATGTATATTCTGATTTTGTGGGGTGGAACCCTTTGTAGACATCTGCTAAGTCTGTTGGTTCTAAGACTTGGTTCAGTTCTGTTATTTTGTTGTTGATTTTTTGGTCTAGATGATTTGTGTCAGTAGAATATTGAGGTCCCCCACTACAATTGTATTAGTGCTTAATTTGCTTTTTTGTTTGTTTGTTTGTTTGAGACAGGGACTCACTATGTAGTTGAGACTGACCTGGAACTCACTACGTAGCCCAGGCTGGTCTCGAACTCACAGTGATCCTCCTGCCTTAGCCTCCTGGGCGCTGGGATTATAGGCATGTTCCACTACGCCTGGCGTAATTTGTTTTTCATATCCATTAATATTTGTTTTGTATAGTTGGGGACATTAGTATTCAGTGCATATATTTATGGTTGTCATTTGTTCCTCTTGTATTGTTCATTTTACAAGGACGTAATGGCCTTCTTTGTCTCTCTTAATGAGTTTTGCTTTGAATTCTAGTCTGTCTGCAAGTAAGATA